GGTGGATTATGCTTTGTGATGGTGTCAGGATTGGGAGCATTTGCAAAGTGGAGTGCCCCAGACCTAACGGCATGGAATGGTGGACAGCGTGGAATCCCAAAGAAGACACAGGGAGAAAAAGCAGCCTTCCTTTCTCTTCCACATGTAGGGCCAGGAGAACTGTTCTTCATTCCTACTTTCAAATCATTGCTCTTCCTCCCTCGTGCAAAACCTCTTTTGCCTTCTGGAGCTTATGCCTTTCAACTATACTGCTTTTACTTTCAGGTTTTTAGTATTTATCCCTCTCTTGGTTCCTCTCCCACAGGCATCCATATCGTAGGACACCTGTGAGGTAGATGCCTATCTAATCCTCTTTAGCCTTGGAGAGTTGAGTGTCTGTAGTCATTGTTTTTTTCAACAAATCTTTATGGAGCTCTTACTATGGGACTGGCTCAGCATTAGGCACTAGATTCACTAGCAAACAAAACAAAGTCTCTGCTCTGGTGGTACTTACTTTCCAATTTGGGTAGAGATAGACAATACATATCTGGTGGTGGTATGTGCTAAAAAGAAAAAGAGAGCAAGATAAGAGGGTAAGGATGAATTGGGGAGGAGCAGGGCTTCCTCTCAAGAAATGATGTTCTGAGACCCAAATGAAGTACAAGAGTAAACCATGTGGGTATATGAATGGATTATCTATTGCTGTGTAACAAAGTGTCCCAAAATTTAGCATCTTAAACAACAAATAAGTATTATCTCACGGTTTCTCGGGATTAGGAATCTAGGAGTGAGTTAGCTGAATGTTTCTGCTTAGGCTGTTGGCTGAGACTGCAGTTATCTCATGGCTCACTTGAGGGTGAAGAATTTGCTTTCCAGCCCACTCACGTGGTTCTTGGTAGACCTCAGTTCATTGGGGGCTCTCAGGCCGGGGCCTCAGTTCCTTGCCTTATAGTGGCTTGCTTCCCCCAGAGTTAGTGATGGGAGAGCGAGAACCACAGTCTTTTATAAACTCATCTCTGAAGTGATGTACCATCGTTATTTTCTGTGGTCCAAACCTCAAACTGCCTCTCTTTATTGACTTGTCTCCCACATTGCCTAAATGTGATTTCCCGGTCAAGCTTTTTGCCTTCCTCTCTCTCATTTCCTTTTTCATTCAAGCTTCCTAAAAGTCTTGACTTGATTGCAACTTGTCCTCTTCTCCCTCCTGCAGATTGGTTCCCACTCTTCACCAATCCACTAAATCTTTTCTGCCCAAGGTGACCAAGTGGTGATCAAGACCAGTCAATTCTCTTCTTCTTTTAGCTGATTTCTCTTGTCTTTCTCTCTCTTAAGACTATCTCCCCTCTTGATTGCTAATATGTCATATTTTTCCTTCTACTTCTCTGACATTACCAGCCTCCCCTGGATCCAGTTCTTCAGCCAACCATTTAAATGTTGGTATTTCGTAAAGTTTTGTTCTTGACTCTTCATGTGTTTACTTTATCTTCAAAGCTGACCTTTACCAAAACTAAATAATCCATGACCCTTCCCCACACTCCCCACCATATACAAACACCACATACACACACACACACACACACACACACATGCGTCGCTCCACCTATATTCATTATTTTTGGTTAATGGAACCCAGGCACCTGAGTAAAAAAACTGTGACTCATCGTACTTTTTTTTCCCCGCATTTCCACATTCTATAAATCACCACGATATGTTAATTCTATCTCCCAACCCTCTCTTGCCTCTACCTACCCCTCCAATCCATGACCTTTGCCCTAGATAAATCCCTTATTTGTTTTTCACCTGGTCTACTATGCTCATCTGATAACTGATATCCCACTCCGTTTTGGCCGATTGTCATCTACCATTGATGCTGCTACCAGATATTTGTGTAAATCATGCTTCTCAACATTTCAGTACCTAGGTTACCCAGTTGTCATTGACTCCCAGTCATCAGAGAGAGCTCACATTCCTTCCTTGGCACACAGTGCATTTTGCCATCTGGTCTCTGTTGATCTGCTTGGCACAGCTTTTGCTCCCCTCACCCTTATATTTAATGCTCCTGCAGTGTGAAAATTCTTATATTTCTCTCAAAAGGCCATACTGTTTTATGCTTCTGTTCTTTTTACCTATGTCCTGTTATTTTCCTGTAGTGTATCTTATTCTCCTTTTTCCCCTCACTCAACCCACAGGTCATTCAAATCACAGGTCCCTTGTCTCTTTCCTGTGCCCTCCTCCTCCCCTAACCTTGCCACCTAGACAACATATAATAACTTATATTGTTATTAACTTTCCTTTTCTTTAAGGAAGGTTAAAGAAACTTTCCTTTTCTTTCCCTCCCTTTGTGTAGGTTTCTATTACTGCTTTTACTGTGTTATATTTCATTACTGATCCTGTCTCACTCAGGTGTTATAAGCTGTTTAAGGGCAGGGTCTTTGGCTCATTCATCTTTGTGTCCCCAACATTTAGCAAAATGCCTGACATGTTGTTACCAATTAAATAACTGATTAAGTAACATGTAATTGGACTGAGATAGTATGGCTTTAGGTATGGTTTTATAGGGGGAAAATAAGACTCCAAAAACATAAACTCATTAGTTTCTGTGCTTCAATATGTCATTTGGTAAGTTGATAGAATCTAGCACTGACTGCATTAGGCAGAAGTTGGAAAAAATAAAATGCCTCCAAATTTAGAGTATTAGATATCAAGTAATTAAAAGTTTTTCTGAACCCAGTCTTAAGGTATTTATATTGCACTTTAAAAATGCATTTACCATTCCAGCTTTATACAGAATTACCAAATTTTAAAAAGTTGTTCCTTTCAACTTCAGATATTTTCCCATAGAAATAATGTTCTATGCAGCATTTCAGTATTTCTGTATCAGGATGCAATCTGGAGACAGAAACCACACAATAATTGAACGGGGAAAATTTGATATAAACAATGAGGAATTGGCTGTATCAGGTAAAGAAAACTAAAGAATTTAGGAGTAGCAGATATGGGAGCACAGCACCCAAAGAAGGAACAAATCTAGAAGAGGGATACAGACCTCACTGGAGAAGATGTGGTGTATCCTACTGGATGGCGGAGAAGTTCACTGAAGTGCCACACTGATGGGACTCGCCGGGAAGCTGTTCTGGGGAGGTGCTGCACTGCAGAGCTCACTGGGCATCTGCCAGTGGGAGTGGTGTGCTGGGAAACCACCCTCGGGGGTCAGGAGAGAAGCTGCCCATGGGTTGGTGCCATGTGCCTCCAGGTGGAAGAAGAGCCCTTCTTCCTCCAGTGTCCCTTCACACCCTCTACAGTGATGCTAGCTGGCACAGGCAGGGCAATGGGAAGGTAGTGCTGAAAAGCAATAGATTGACAACTGGCACAGTCCACCCTCTTTGACTACTGAGTTTCCGTGTGTTGCCATTTAATAAGATACAGCTGTCACAGAAATTAGAAAAAAACATGTATGTATAACTTATTTATCTTGAATTCTAGTGCTCGGAGTAGTGCAATTAGATGAGGATGAAAAAGGAGATGAGACGCCTTGTGAGTTCTGAAGTAGTTAACGGCATTTTTAAAGAAAATGTATTGTTAAATATCTGAATTTCATTTTCCTTGATCTAGATAAATTAAAGACACTTCTTACACCTATCACTTAAAAATTAATTAGTTTTGGCTTAGAATTGTAGAAAATAAGACAGTCTTTCTTATGGTAAGTAATTGAGCCACACCTAGTAGAGAGAGGAAGCATTGTGTGTAGGTATGATAAATGTTTGTCTGATGTGGAATTTATAGCCTCTAGTTCAGTACGTTAGTCAATCAGAATATTTGAGTCAAGAATCCTCTGGTCATTGAGCAAGAGAGGAAACATGACTATTTAGTGTGAATGACCGTGAAAGGGGAGAAATAAAGTGGTGGGGGAAAGGTTTGGGGTCATGTGCCAGGCAGTGGGACAAATAAGGCCACTGTATATGGAACGTGCGTGCTGCTTGCCTACACACAGACACACATGGTAGTAGCATGAACCAAGTAGTCGGGTCAGAACTTGGGAGTACCTAAATATTATGAGTCAGTTCTTGGGGTAAAAGTTGACATGCATTTTTGTTCCCTAAGCTTAATAACAGGTATAACTTATGGGGGCTGCATTAAATAGTCCTACAGTCTCTTGTAGAAGAATTTTTTGTCATTATAGGAAGAAAACAGGAATAAAAGCAGTCTCATATGACCCATAGAGGATTCATATTCCCCATCTGTGGCAGAATAGATGTTATTGAATCTTGACTGATTTGTTGATAATCTGGGTCTATAACTTAGAAGAAAGGAGAGATTTAAGGCCAAGTCTGATTTCTCTTGCACAATAAGACCTCATTACTAATTATTCCCCATCTCTTCCTACTCTATGGTTGTCATTGTTTTTACTTCATTTCTTACCTGGTGTTAATGGACAGCTAGGAGTTTCTAGAGATTTTGCTTTTCTATCATCCGTTCTTCCCAGCTATGAAAAGTATGTGAGAAGATGAAATCAGGGATTGGGTTCAGTTGTACCTTAACCTCCCAGCTGTGGAGCAGTTTTGATTTACAGTTACACGTCATGGTTATTGACTTGGATACTAGACTTACCTCACTTTTGGCCTTCAGATCCTCACTCGAACAATTGGGGACCCTCTCCCCTCTGAAAAACTAGCCAGAACTCTCAACTATAGATAGGGAAGTTAGGTTCATATATAACCTTCTTAACTAACTCCTAAAACGTCCAGTTGCAGAGATGCCCATGACCTTCAGGTAGGGAGCATGTAGATCAAGGTTGAATCATCTTCCAGGTTCCTCAGCACTCATTACTGTCTCGCCCGAACATTTCAACATTTTAGAAGATTTCTGGTCTCCATTATGCCATTATTTACCGTGTATTATAAAACATTTTGAATCATTGGAGAATATTTGGTGTCACAATTCTGGCTGGATTGCTAAAAGCAAGTGGTGTTAGTGTCCCTGCCTAATTGTAAATGGGTTCGTTTTTTGTGTCTTTCTTTCAGGTGTTTCTGAAGAGTGATCGAGTGGCCAGGATGGTTCAGAGTGGAGGATGTTCTGCTAATGACTTCAGAGAGGTGTTTAAGAAAAACATAGAAAAACGTGTGCGGAGTTTGCCAGAAATTGATGGCTTGAGCAAAGAGACAGTGCTGAGTTCATGGATAGCCAAATATGACGCCATTTACAGGGGTGAAGAGGACTTGTGCAAACAACCAAATAGAATGACCCTAAGCGCTGTATCTGAACTTATTCTGAGCAAGGAACAACTCTATGAAATGTTTCAGCAGATTCTGGGTATTAAAAAACTAGAACACCAACTCCTTTATAATGCGTGTCAGGTAAGTGGTTCATATTTCCCATTCCCCCACCTGACTCAGAATGAACATCAAGTGTTAACAGGCCTATGAAGATGTACTTTACTTTCTATAATCACTTTGGTTGAAAAGTTGAGTGAAATTGAATTTTAATAAATCAAATAGTGATATTTGAAAGAAGCTTTGAAAGAATTATTTGATAGAGAAGAATATCTGTACATTTTATGCAGTAAATAATTGTTCTCATGTGCCCTATTTTAGGACATCAGATTTGTGCCTATTTGGTATGTATAGGGCATGCCCCAAATAGTAAAATGAAAATCATCTGTTATCTGAAGAAGGGCAATTTATAATAAATAGGTATTCCTCAGTGCAAAATAATTTTTCATAAAGTTATGTTCATCTTCTGAATTTTATGGAAGTAACTAAAATTTCAATTTTTTTTAACCCAGCCAGACAGAAATGAAATGATGATTGCTAAACTATGTAATTTAAAGAGATGACAGAGTGCATATTTTTTTTCTTCAGTTACTATTCTAAACATACATATGAAATTGAATAAAATATCATATCTGTTCCACGTCTTTCATCTTTAGAACCTGTGATTTATCTAATAATGTATTCCTTCCGTATTTGCATTTTGTTTGCTTATTTTAGAGGTATAAATTATTTATGCCTTAACATAATTTAAATTGACAAATTCTGGCATTTTAAAATTCATGCGTTCATTGAGTTACATTTCTATAATGTACATAAGTTTATATTTATTTTAATCTTTTTGCTTAATTTCTATATTCTACCTGTATCATTTACTTTGCATTACTAATTTGCAGATCATTTAAAATGAATAAATGAATAGTTGATAGTAAAGCGATGTGGCGCCTTAACCCTGTGAACAATTCATCATAATTGTTTTCACTGTTTTATTAAACCAGGTGATGGTTTGATAATAGTGGAGGATGACTGAAACCAAAATCTTCTATTTTAAAAGATTAATGCAACTGGGACTTCGTACTTTTAATGCAACAGTAGCTCACTTATACAGTTAAATATTGATGAACATAATTCAGTAGTAAAATTCAGATAGTCAGTAAATTTAGTGAATATTTATTCAAGTCAAAAACCTTGCTAGGTTTTGGGGAAACCAAGCTGAGCAAAATAAAATATTTGTTCTCCATATCTCCATATGCCGGAGTCAAATAGAGCAGATAGTTCTCTAAAATGAGTTATTACAAATGGGTTAGAATTTATACTGGATTTTACAGGGTCATAAAAGTAATTCCTGTGGACCTATCAGTTTATGGTTTGGCTATTTTTGGGTCATAATAATAACAATAATAGCAACAATTACTATTGCTACCTGTTATGATTTCCTTATTTAAAATTTTTTTTTTCTTTTTACCTTTTGACCTCTTTCCCCTATTTCTCCCACAGTTTGTTTATTACCTCCAAATATTTTTAAATTAGTTCTTTGCTTACTTTTTAAGATCACATCTACAGCAAGGCCATGGACCCCCTGATTTCTGTCTTCTATGACTTGGAACATACTTCTAATTCAAATCTCCTATAGTAATTTATTTTTCCTTTCAATTCTATCAGTATTTGCCTTGTATATTATGATGCTCTGTTAGGTTCGTACACATGTAGGAATGTTATGTCTTTTTGTGGAATTAACTCCTTTATCATTATGTAAAATCCCTCTTTATTCCTGATAATCTTTTTTCTGAAGTCTACTTTAGTGTAACCAAAAGGTCCACTAAAGCTCTCACTGCCACAGCCGGAGTTCGTTTCCTGGTCAGGGAACCACACCACCAGCCTATTGGTTGTCACACGGTGGTGGGTGTGTGTTGCTGTGACGCTGAAAGCTATGCCACTGGTATTTCAAATACCTGCAGAGTCACCCATGGTGGACAGGTTTCAGCAGAGCTTCCAAACTAAGACAGACTAGGAAGAAGGACATGGCCACCCACTTGCGAAAAAATCGGCCATGAAAACCCTGTGAAGAGCAGTGGAGCCTTGTCTGATATAGCACCGGAAGGTGATAGGATGGTGCAAAAAGACCCAGCAGGATTCCCCTCTGCTGTACGCAGGGTCTCTAGGAGTTGGAATCGATTCCGTGGTACTAACAACCAATTCTGTCTTAAACTAATATAGCTACTCCAGTTTTCTTTTGATGAGGGTTAGCATGGTGTCTTTCTCCACGTGTTTACTTGTAACCTCTCTGATTCTTTAAAGTGGGTTTCTTATAGACAGTGTAAAATTGCCTCTTGTTTTTTTATCCAGTCTGACAATCTCTGTCTTTTAATGGATATGTAGACTATTCATATTTAATGTGATATAGTTGGATGAAATTCTGCAGTCTTTGTAACTGTTGTCACTGCCTTGCATTTGTTCTGTCTTCCCTTCTTTTTCTGCCTTTAATTTTAATTGAACATTTTGTATGATTCCATTTTATATCCTATTTTGAAATACTACTTGTTTTTTTAAAACTTGTTTAGTGGTTGCCTAGGGTTACAATACACATTTTTAAATAATCTAACTCCACCTTCAAATAACACTATAAGACTTCAAATGTAGTGTAGCTGTCTCGTAATAGAGAATGCCCAATTCTTCCCTCTCATCCCTTGTGACATTCCTGTCATTCATTTCACTGACATTTCTGTCATTCATTTCACTGAGTATATGCTATAATCACCCAATACATTGTTACTATCATTGCTTTAAACAGTTAACTTTTAGATCAATTAAGAATAAGAAAAATAAAAGATTGTATATATTTTACCTTCATTTATTCCTTCTCTGACACTCTTCTTTCTCTATATATACCCAAATTTCTGACCTATATCATTTTCCTTATCTCTGAAAAACTTTTTAAAATTTCTTGCAAGGCAGAACTACTGGCAATGAGTTCCCTCACTTTTTGTTTGTCTGAGAAAGACTTTGTTTCTCCTTTATATTTAAAGGGTAATTTCACTGGATATAGAATTATCAATTACCTTTTTTTCTCTTCGAACACTAACGATTTCACTCCACTCTCTTCTTGCTTACATGATTTCTGACAAGAGGTCTGATAAAGCTCTTATCCTTATCCTTGACTCTCTATGATTAAGATGTTTTTGTCTTCTGGCTTCCTTCAGTATTTTCTCCTTGTCTTAGTTTTCTATAGTTTAAATATGGTATGCCTAGGTATTGGTTTTTTGATATTTCTCTTGCTTGATGTTGGCTGAGCTTCCTGGATTTGTGGATTGGTGTCTGTCATTAAGTTTGGCAAGTTCTGAGCCATTATTACTTCAGATATTCCTTCTGTTCCATTCTCACCTTCTCCTTCTGGTATTATGTTTGTTACTCCTTTTTGATATTGTCCCATAGTTCTGGGATGGTTTGGTTTTTTTTTTTTTTTTAAGTTCTTTTTCTCTTTGCATTTCAGATTGGGAAGTTTCTGTTGACCTTTCTTCAAGTTAACTGATTCTTTCCTCAGAATCATCAAGTCTACTGTTGATCCCTTCCACGGCGTTGTTCACTTCTGTTACAATGTTTTTGATTTCTAGCATTTCCTTTTGATTCTTTCTTAGAGTTTCCATCTCTCTGCTTACATTACCCTTCTGTTCTGGCATGTTTTCAACTTTTTCTGTTAGAACCTTTTACATATTAATAATTGTTATTTAAATTCTATGTTGGATAATTACAACATCTGTGTTATATCTAAGTCTGATTGGGATGCTTGCTTTGTCTCTCCAGGCTGTGTTTCTTTTTCTTTTTTGCCTTTTGGTGTGCTTTGTAATTTTTTGAAAGTCAGACACGCATTAGGTAATAGGAACTGAGGTCCATTTGCCTCTAGTGTGAAGATTTATGTTAATCTGACTGGGAGTTGGGTTGTGCTTCATGTTTGTTGTAGCCACAAGCACAAGAAGCTTCAAATTCTTCTGATATCCTTGTCTTGGTCTCCTGTCTTGACTTTGGGCTTCCCTAAGTATTCCTCAGAGAGAGTCAGTGTCTTGCAACTCTTTTAGCTGTGACCCACTATTTTTTTTTTTAATGTTTTTTATTTATTTATGAGGAAGATCAGCCCTGAGCTAACATCCATGCTGATCCTCCTCTTTTTGCTGAGGAAGACTGGCCCTGGGCTAACATCTGTGCCCATCTTCCTCCACTTTATATGGGATGCCGCCACAGCATGGCCTGACAAGTGGTGCATCAGTGTGTGGCCAGGATCCGAACTCAGGCTGCCAGCAGTGGAGCGGGCGCACTTAACCGCTATGCCACGGGGCCGGCCCCAACCCACTGTTGTTATACTGGAGCCATATTGATATTGTGATAAGGTGTTGAGGAGAAGGGATTGTTGTGTAATCTGATAAATTCTGAGTCTTTTAGTGGACCTATGTCTTGGGGCTCTAACCTTCACAAGTGTTTCTGTCCTTTGTCCAGGAGTATCGCTTCTCTCCCCACCCATGTTCCTTGTGCTCTTCCCTGGCTGAAGTATCCCCATTCTGTTTCTTTGAAGTGCGTCCCCTGTTCACTCTGAGTTGGTTGTTATTTTTTTTCAAATAGACAAGACAGGAAGGCTGCAAAGGACTGCAGAGGGCAGCCTTCTCTCCCTCGAGCTGGGATAAGTTTTCAGTATTTCCTTCTAGCAAAGTCTTTCCCTCTTTGTTAGGGAGAAGAATCTGGGAGGTGTAACAATTGCTTTTCTTCCCCTTTTTCTGCCAGGTCCACATGGGGATCCTTCTTGGATCCTTATTGTGAGAATTTGGTGGGGTTACTGGAATGAAAGTCCAGTCAAGTGTGGGAGTCCCCTTATGATTACAGCCTCAGGAGTTTCTCTCTGCACTCAGCTTCTAGTAATTTGTCCAAATTACTAGTAAAGTAAGTGGTCCTACTATTTATGGCCTCCATTGACTTCTGCTCCAAATGCCATCTCTCTCTGTTTTGCCTGTCTCCAGAGTTTGGGTTAGTGATTTGCCCTGCAACCTCGGTTCTCTAAGTCTAAGAAAAGTCATTGATTTTCAGTTTGTCCAGCTCTTTAT